AAATGGTTTCCTTTTTTAAACAATTTCCGGGAAGAACCAGTCTCCTACTCTCCTTTAATATGTCAAGGATCACACAGAAAAGAACGTCTCCAACAGTTATCCATTGCCGCGGGAACGTGTCTACCGAGGTGTTTCCGCAAGAAAGTGTTTATCAAACGTTTCCCTAGCAACGATAGGGGAGATACATATATAGACACATAGGCTGATTGAACGGATTAATGATGTACACCGTTGGGATAGTCTAAATTGCCACGATAAAGATTCTTGTCTAGAAAACTGAGATTAACGGCCGTGGTATCCGTTGCGCTGACTATGCGACACGTATCAGCAAAAGTTGGCACTAACCGTGGATAATCGGCGTTCGCTCTGTCGGAATAGTTCACTTGTGGAATAAAAGCCACAGTGTTTAGTTTCTAGTTTTAGTTTCTTAAAGGTCGGTTCAGGCAATCGAAAGCTGATAAGGAGAGATGCAGATGCAGATACACAGACAAACAGCCAGGTGATCTCACAAGTCTACGTTCAGTTTTTTAAAACATATGAAGGTTGCTAAATAATAAACTAAAGTTATGTAAGTTGTCCCCTAGCCTTGAAGGAATGGTGCAGATCGGTGAATTTGTAAGAAGAATATTGTCATTCTTACAGAAAGATACTTATATGGTCTGACTAACTTTCGTTAGTTCCGTAATGGTTACATGCAACTGGCGCCTACTGGTACCACGGGAAAGCTTTGTTCATGCATTACACTAGGGTTCTAACCGGAAACTGGTGTGTATGTAAGGATCCCAGTTACTCTTTGTGAAATTACTGCGAGGACTGAAGATTCAATTTCAAAAGAAATCAGATTTCTGACAGTTATGATAATAAATTGTTAGAAGCAAAATACCTTCGACGTGCGTGTTATTATTCCGCTGTTATTTTGTTGCTATAAATTACACTTCCCGTCACTCGTCATTGTTGCTCTTCTAAACTCTTCGGCGTTTCTTTCAAGTTCCAACTTCCCGACTTATTTCACATTTCAACAGTTTATGTCATTCACTGCTTCATACGCCAATCCTGCTCTCATTGTTAAAAGACGTCATCAGAACTGATGGCCTTGGCGATCTGATTGTAGCTGCAGTATATTGAAATGGAGAAAGAATGAATGTTTGTCTCCTACACGTACAAATATGTAGGTTATTGTATCACAGTGTAGTCTGCTACATTGGAAGCGACGGTTCGAATACAGCAGGAATTCTCAGGAGCCTGCAACACTGGTGCACAAGACAACATGGCACCCTAGAAAATAGCAAGCTTCATATGGTCTGCTGCCAGAAGCTAATATCATGCAACGTTTTCTGTTTCCGTGATATAAAACAGTGTGATATGAAATCACAAGCCGGAACAGGGGAACGAATAGAGACGCATACTGTTAGGCAGCAGCACCGCAAAACACGTTCCCGCGGCAACATATACTGACACAACAATAGAATACAATGTCGTTTCAAGTCTCCAGGTCAAGGCAATTGTACAGTAAACATATATCCATAGCATTGAATCAACAGACAACAATAGAGGCCATTTTGAAAACTTTGATTTCCAGGAAGGTCGCGGGTTCAAGTCCCAGTGAGGTCATTGGATTTCTTTCAATTGACATAATCCTTCTGGCCGCACTAGGCCCTGGAGTTTACTCAGCCTCTAACAGAAATGAGTACCAGGAAGTAATTAAATAATTTTCCTGGGGAGTGAAGCGCGGACGGCGCGTAAGGATGACAAACTTACCGCCATCTTTGAGCCGATTATGAAGGTAATGTGGGACCCTTAACGTCTCACAACTCTATGGGCCTTCACGGCCTGTTACAGGGACAGCTTTACTTTTTTTTTTTACTTTTACGCACCGAGATTATGTAACGGGCACCAGTAGTCATTCAGTCGTGACCCCACAGAAACAAGTCCGAAACTGTCAAACAGTAATCAATATCTGGTGATGAGCCCAGATTGCGCTGACTGACTGACTGACAGATTGACCGTCAGTCGCAACGTGACTTTGACTTTGACTTATAGTTAACCTGACCCGTGTGGAGGCGGGGTCCAATATCTCCACCGTGACCCTGCGAGTCGTAGGAGGCGACGAAAATGGAAGTCTCAGATCTAAGACAGTGAAATATGGTCGTGAGTCCCAAGGGACTCGGAGACGAGGAAACTGCGCTGACAAGGGCCAGCAGCATATTAAAAGGAGACAACCATCCTCTTTTCAGAGACGGCGCTCCACAAGAAACAAGATCGTAACTGTCAAACAGTGATAAAAATCTTGTAATGAGCTCCAGATGGGACTCGACACCAAGACTCATTGCTTGACTCTCAACCAAAATTTGACTTTGGATTGAATTAATCATGTGTAGCTAAGGTACAGTGGCAGTGCGTGTTTGGCCGTGAGGTATATCCATAGTTAGCAGCTACTACCTTACAGCGACGAGTGATGGCAGAATTACAAACGGAGCACTTCCTGTGTCCTGGATTACGATCATGTAGTAGAGATTTATAGGGTGTGTAAATTATTGAGATTTTTACAATCATTTGTAATTAAGAATTATAAACTTTCAATAATTCCAATTGTCATTCGAACCCCAATGTCTACTCATTAACACGTGACAACATGTTTATACATGACTGATACTCAGGAGGTTTCCTTTCAGGAGCTGCTCATATCTTTGGATTTAAGATGTTCACACATTTATCAGAACCCTCAAGCTAAAACCGTAGGACTGCTGCAAACCACTTCTTCACAACCGACAAGAACACATTGTGTGAGGAGCGAGTTGTAAGGTTACAAAGAATTCTACATTCCCTTGAAACAAGAGTGCCAGAGGTTTGCTAAACAGATTTCAAGAAGTATTTCCTGTTCTAAGAGAAACAATGGTGAGTGTCTTGTGTTTCTTTGGATAGGAGAGATATTTTTTTTCAGCCCACAATTTGCAAGTTCAGAGGAACCAAATATATAGGAACAAGATTGTCTTAATTTTCATAATATCTGTTGTCACTTTTTTTTAGATATTTGAAAGAATTAGAGCATTTTAGCGTTTTGTGTGAGAGAGTCATGTATCTTAGATACTTGTACATGATGTGGGCAACTCATGTAGCTTTGGGGTGAATGTGGGAAATGCAGAGGAAACCCAGACAGTAAACCTGAATGAATGAGACCAGTTTGTAGATCTATGCTCAAAGGTTAAGGTATCACTCATCATATTCTTGTCACAAGTTAATATATTTGTACAGTTTACTGATGTTAAAATTTCCAGAGCTGAGGAGATTGGCTCAATGTTGATCACCTAAGAGATCATTCCTGCTAAGAGAATAGGCTTTCCCATTGTATATATCTTTGGTCATTTGGAAGTATTGAGGGTTTCTGTGTTCACCTGTGTTTACCCCCCAACAGCCTATACATATCTGGCACTTAGCTCCATGGAAGAAACTGGAAGTCAGTGGGTTAACCACAGTCCTCTTAAAGTACAGACACTACACCCAATGAACATGGGCCTGTGACAACATAGTGCATTATAAGGTTCAATCCTGTAAGGAGGAAAAGTAGCAATGATTACCAGTTTAAATAATAAATATAATGTCGTTCATTTGAACCTTAAAAATTGTGCAACTTCTCAAGTTTAATTAACTGTAATTGTGCTACAAACAATAACAAAATGATACAGGAAATTGAACTTACGACATAATATACTGTAGCGTGTTTTGTGTGTCACGCTACAAATAAACTCACGTAGGTCTCAAATTCCATAGAACCTTTATTGTTCTACTGAGAATGATTGCGCAAGGGCGAAACATATCGCAATACTAAGGGAAACAAGGGAATGCATTGTTGTTTGAAGCAATAACCATGCACTCATTGCGACATTTAATGAAGTTGAATTATTATGTCTGAATTAATCACTTGTAAGAAAGATGCTGAAACACATTTCAGAGAATTACAGCTGGAGGTTGTGGACTGGATTTGCATCTGCAGACCCATAAAAAGCTCCTGTGAACATGGTAATGAATATCGAGTTTCATGGAAAGCAGATATATTCTAGACTACTTGGTGACCACTAGTTTCTAAAGGAAGACTCTGCTCCGTGGACTTAGTTGTTTGTAGTCATTTTGAAGTTGAAAGAAAGATACATGTATAAAACTGCTAGTGTCAGTTTTATATAATGGAAAAGGAAAATGTGTCCTATTTTTATACTAATTTTCGTATTTTGAAAAATGCAAGAAAATCTACGAAGATATAATTACCTACTTCCTTTCATTACATATTAAGTATTTGATACGAACCGGACCTCAAAGAAAACACCACGTTCAGCAACTTGCGAATGCAATGTAACATGACTCAAGCAAGTTACAGTAGTGGATTTAGACTTCACATAGACAACATGGAAAATGTCGCGTCCAACATTTCTTCTCTCGCTGCTTATATAATGTTTGCCGAGCCGTTGCCTGCTCTGCTGGTTCTCAAGAGATCGCCCTGCTGCCTGTTCTAGTCCCCTAAGTAGAAAAATTCTGAATAGTGGAGCCTGAAAGGACGGCCGTTACAATAATATATAAACATTTGTTACAAGTTACGTGACGCCTGAAAGCCGGAATGTTGCGTTGATATATGCGCCATTGAAATAGCCATCGCTAGGCAACTCCTCGCAAATTAGTTCCTCCATCTAACAAGTGTCTACGTACCTCGACTGTCTGCTAAACGCGGCCGGTCGGGACAGGTGGGGTTAACTGCAGCTGCCCTTCGACAGAAGCGCCGTTGCAGGTTTCGGGCCCCGTCGATACCATTGACGACATTTTTGTTCTTGGTTGCGAGTCCCGCAGAACGAACTTTCTCTGTGTATCTCACTGCTAGGCAATGGTTCTCTTGCTGGGCAATGGTCCGCTTCATAGGCAACATCTCGGTAAATAATTTGCCGTTTTCTATCCGGTCCATGTCTTAGTGAGTGCTTCATCCCAGAATCTCTTGCATGCCATGCAAATGCACAGCCATGACAGATGCGGCATTTCTCGATTTGCAGAACCTTACAGGTTGGGAGAGAGTACATATATGGTGTTCGAGTGGTGAGATGTACCCAGCATCTTCTCACGATGCATATCAAGAAACCAGTATAAAAACCGAGGTACCATCAGATGCAGAAGCAGAGGACCCCCTCGCAATGACATTTCAAGGAGGAATAAAGGCTGAACCTGAGGTGAAATGCGTCCCTGTGTCCATGTTGGGCCGATTTCACAAATACAGGTCTCCCTCATTTTACAGACAATCCATTTGTGTACATTTGCTACACCGAACAACTTGCATTCGTAAGAAGTAAGGGGTTGTAGCACATTTTGAAAGATTAAAGTTTAAGGGTGTGGAGTGAATTTGCTTCTGTTATTCTATACAGCCATGACAGGCTCTTACGAACATGTTATCTAAATTCGAATACCAAAGCAGGCATATATATTGTAGACTAGGAGAGTGACCATTAGCTTCTAAAGGGAGACTCGGCTACGTGGTCTTAGTAGTTTATAGTCATTTTAAGTTGCTGGGAAGAAATGTGTAAAAAAATGTTATTATGAAATTAATTCCACAAAAAATGAAAATGTATCATATTTTAGTGCAATTTTCTTATTTTGATAAATGCAAGGTATTCTGGGAAGTATTAATTGCCTTCTTCCTTTCACTACATATTCGGTATTTGATATGACCCGAAACTCTTAGAATACACTTAAATAACTTTTGAATTGAATTTGACCTAACGCCTGAAAGCCAGAATAATAGATTCCGATGGGACAGCAGTGGTTGAGTAAACATGTTCCCATAGCAAAAAATTCACTCCCAACAATGCGAAAATGTTGGACACGATGCATCATCCGTGTTGTGTCAGGACCTCAAAATGTAGTGAAAAGAAAACACGCGATTTTTGCTTCCCAGGACTGTGAATGCACAGCCATGATAGAACGGCATTGATTGTTCTACAGAACCTTACAGGCTCGGAGAAAGAACGAAGTCTGTGTAGTAAGATGTCACCAGCAGCTTCTCAAGATGCATATCAGGCCATCAGCGTGAAAGCTGAGGTATCGTCAGATGCAGAAGCAGAGGAGGGTTCTCAGGCAATAACATATTCAGGAGTAGTAAAGGCTGAACCTGAGGTGAGCTGTTCATCTGTGTACATGTTAGGCCGATTTCACTAATAGAGGTCTCCCTCGCTTTACGAAGTTCTCCTATAGCGAACGACCTACATTCGTGAGAAATCTTTTGCGAAAGCAGAATACATGCGGAGCAGGGGTCTGTTGGGGAGCAGCAAATATCAGCACCATCCTACACCCCACACCATTACAGTATGTGACCATCTGCCTGATTCTAAACATACAGAGTCGGCTGTGCATCTCATGCTTACATTTCATCCATACATAACTGTCTTATGTGTGCACATCCTGGCTCCCTAACTGCATAAATTTGGTTTGGAATTAAAAAATTCCACTCCAAAGCGGACAGTGGAAGCTTCACACATGGCTCCACAACAAAGTTCAGATCATCATAAATATTGTATAAACACGGTGACCTACAGTACACTTGTATCTACTGCTCCAGCTGCCTTGAGCTTCTACGCGTGGAGAATCCGGAGAAATTTCAGGCACCCTGAGGAGGCATGTCTCGTTCTGTACCCATCACACTATGTTCACCCTGCCTTCAACAGTACTTTTTCAATGAACACTTAACATTTCCAGCCTGAATGAGGACAATTTTGCCACCTTCTGCGTGTTTCATACTCATATGAAGTATGCTAAAAACACGTTCTGTAATACAGGGAGTCACGCCTATCTGAGTCTTTGTTATCCATTTCTCTGTATATAGAGTGCAAGAGTACTGGAAACGCTGTGTGTGACAATTCCCCGCAATTCCGACGATCCCTTCTATGGACTATGAATTTTCCCGAGAGAAAATGCTTCCCATCAGAAGCGCATGCGCTATTTTGTTCCGTTACCTTTCTCGCACCCCCCCTCCCACACCCGACCCGCAACATACATCATTGTCCACAAGTTATGCCCGCTGTTTCCTGCAGCCACTGCTTCATGTGTCGGGGTTTTCTGTTACTTTCTCTGTGACTGTGTCGAATTGCAGCCCTGCCGTATGAAGGAGAGAGCGTACCAGTTTACACCCCTCATGTGCATCTTGACGTTATGTGTCACAAGAAGAGGGGCGAGCGTCAGCAGAATCTGCACGTGCTCTACATGTTCGTAAAATGATTATTCATACTATTATGAAGGGTGTGCGGTAACTGAAACAAATGCTGCTAACTTCTGAAACTACTTGAAGGCGAAAATTACTCGCTAGAAGTGTGGAAGTTTGGGAGTGGCGTCTCACAATGTGAAGCGAGGATATTATGTGCACACCCTCACAAGCCTAGCCCTCCCCCTTCCATGATATTAATGAACTAGGAACTGGCAGGGTTGGACAGGCGACCACAAGATTACCATGGCGATGGTGAGAGCATAAGAAAAAAATACCTTAACAGTCGAGACGTTTAAGAGGAAATTTCAGCAAATTTAATTATACTGTGGATTATTTGGGAACCATGATCCTCTCTAAGTTTATTCTGCCAAGGTTGAATTCGAACTGAAAGATACGTTGTCATGCTATTAAGAAATCATTATAAAAACTTATAATTCGATTTTTAACCCGAGCAATTCTACGAAGCGCAGGCCGCTCAGGGGGAGACAAGAACTTAAGGCAGGCCCGCCCAGTTATCAGCCAAACACACATACACAGAGAAAATATAAAATTATTGTTTAGTGTACTCTGGAGGGTAAAAACGATCGAGAATTTTAAGTAGCCATATGTTAGGACTGCTTATGTAAAGAAATTTTTACTTCAATACAGTAACTTTATTAATTCAAAATGTGTACGAGTTGTCTTTGGCTCGTTGGGCAACGATTCCTTTCGAAAACACATTATGGGCGGCATGCTAAATTCTCTGCTTCCATGCGCACCTGCGGTAAGATCATATGAAACAGTACTTATTAACCGTTGTTTACATTTTTTTTGGGGGGGGGGTTGGGCAGAAATCCACCCTTTAAGGGGATTCGATTCATGTAGCATCTTTTCAGTTTTTTGTTCGGACTGCGGTCATGAGAGTTGCTTCTTTGAAAAGTCTTGTGATTTTTCTTGTTTCTTTTCCGTAGTACGTAAAAATGACCCATTTTGTTGTTTGGTGATTTGGGATTGTATTTTTGTTGAGTCTATAGTTTCACGAATTGCTTGTGTTTAAGTTTTTATTATATTCTTTTTCTATAGTGTGTCTTGTATAATATTCAGTTCCTTTACCTTCTAATTTAATTTGTACAAACGACACAGCACGCACGTAAACTTCACGACTAATAATAAGAATATACAATCAAGAGAAGTAAACGACATCTCCCACCATCCGGAGGAAAACAACATGACCCAATGTTCGCTCACGATATTTTAACATAATAACTAATCATTTACATACAAAAGAAAATTTTAATACAATTTTAAATACATTGGGAAGCTACCGTATGGAGAAGTGAACATCATATTGCGTGCAATGGAAAATCCAAGTCAGAATACCTAGCAAATACGCTTAAAAGAAACATTATCATCGGTAAATCTACACTTCAAGAAGCGTCATCGTGAATGCCTAAGACAAACATCATAACTAACTGTGATAATAACAAAATTTATATAGTGAGCATTACGAGTATTCATAGCTTAAGTGCATATTATCAAAACATCTTATGTGACAGTGTTTCCTGATCGTAGTGGTGCGCCTCTGAGGATGATTCTTTTGAATCGAAGCATGTAAGGTGCAAAAGACTGAAGTGTTGTAAACTTGTATGTCACACTGGACTGAAAATTATCCACTTTGTCCTTTTTCTTCAATTATTTTTGGATATGTATGTAGTCTATTCATCAAGTAGGTACTTTATGATCATAGGGGTGGTATGGGACATCCGGTATCATGGCATCTCTCTGTGTAGGATTCCTATATATTTCGAGTTTTAGAGTTGTTCTTTTCTGGTATATTGTGAGATCCATTTAGTTGATTGAGTTGTGTTGTTTCTTTTCAATAGTAAATTTTATATTAGTTGTTTGTTTATTGAATTCGATTAGTGTTTCATCCATGTTAGCCTTTTTTGTTTATATATTATAAGAATGTCGTCTATGTATCTGAAATATCCCATTAGTTTTTAGTTTTTAACACTTGGTGCAGTTGACTTTGCTGCATGTGTAGGATGTATACCTCGGCTAATATAGCGGAAACATTAGCAACCACATCTAATCCTTCCGTCCTTTTGTAATATTGTTGGTTGAATTGGAAATAATTTTCTTCCGTAACTGGTGTCAATGTTAGAGGACTTACGACGAGCTGATCACCCGCCCAATGAGTCCTACCGAACGTGTAAAATCTCGGAGTGAAAGTGAAAGTGAAAGTGAACGGAGAAGTTCATGGAGGTATGCCTAGGCCCACTGGGGCTGTGGTGCCAAGGAAAGACAAAGTGGTTTTAACATGTTTATTATTTCTTCTTTATCACTTTTGGCGATTTCCGTGTCGTTTTCAATAATAGTGATGACTTCTATTTTTGGTATGCTAGTACACATATTCCATATATCGAATGAACACATTGTCATATCTTCGTTAATTTTTATGGAATGTAAGTCTGTAGTTAGATGTCAGCGTTTTGGATGTTATACACATTGGGCAGGTTTCGGCAATTGTGCAATGCTGTAGATACTTCGCTAGTTTGTGTACGGGTATGAAAAAGAAATCACAAATCTTTTCAAGGAAGCAAATATGAACACAACAATCCGAAAGAAACACAATTTAAAGCCGGTAAAGCCTCGCCTACAGAGAGATGAGTACGAAAATTGGCGTATACCAATTGAGTTTCATGGATTGCCCACAAAAATATATAAGGAAAGCGGGCCGAATATTCAAGACAGCATACAAAGAAAATATTGGACATGCCGCCAAAATGTCGGAATATCTGAATCAGAGCGGACGTCCATTGATAGATAACGGCCCAACAGACAAGTTTCCTGCACAACCGAGGTGACATTTCCATGACAACGGCCAGGTAAATATTTATGTTTTATGGCAACGGAAGGATGAACTGTTGGATTCGGTTTTCCCTAGTCGGCAAGCCAAGCAGTTATGAAAGAGGTCAGAATTGCACACAGACGTGAGAAGACAGCTTCGAAGTCAGAATTTAAACCAACAGTTATAAGCAGAGTTAAGAAGCAAAGAAAGCTTTCAGAAGTGAAGTACTAGAGAACACAGAAAGTGTGTGAACTGTTATAATTAAGTATAATTGTGTTAGTATCGTTCAATAAACCCAGCAATCGAAACTAACAAACTGCAATTATTTGTCAAAGAACCCCGGACACATGATAATTTGGTGTCAGAAGTGGCTAATAATACCAACTCATGATACTTCAGCCACACAATAAATACAGGACGTATATACGAGAGTATAAATAACACCATGAAATTATTGAAAACAGAAAAAACGAAATCATCTCAAAACACTGGAAAGATGCCATATCCTATTGTCACATGTCTAACCGTTGCTGGGCAACGGGAGGTGGAACGAGTTACCACGAAGACAGACCCTTGATAAACAGTCGGTTGTCAAGTTACGCAACAGGAAACGAGGTTACGCAACGGTAAGGAAAGCGGTGTTTCTCAGAGTCGTGCCGAATAGAGCCGAAGTGAGCCGAGCCGAAGCTATGCAGCAATAAACAACTCTCGGCAGCGTTCCCCAGCAACGCCTGTAAACATGCGTCACACAGCAGGGGAACCCGTGCAACGACTGTTGCCAAGCAGTCGGTAAACACGACTTCACACAACGGTGGTACCTATAACGTAACTGTTTTCTGTGTTGACCGTGTCGAGCCTAAATTAGGAGCAGCGAACAATATTCAGAGTGAGGATTGAGCCAGTTACGAGTGAGTGAGTTACTACAGAGAGATTAACCAATCAGTTGCAGTCTAGCATTCCCCGGAGTGAATGGAATCAGTGGAAGTAATTGTGATACTGCAGACGGCAGTAGTGGTGTAACTGTAAACTGTATAAATGTGAGAGCGAGTGTTCAATAAATTAGCTATATCAAATTAGGTGTGAATT